AAAAAAAAAACAAAAGAATCGAAACCCGGATCAGACTCATACCTCTGACTTTCACCCTCGTGATGAAACTATTTCGGAGCCACCAATGTGTGTACAACGGGAGGTAATGGAAAAATGAGAGAATGGAAGTGGGATAGGTTCAGATTGGTGATTTGTGTTTGAATTAATAATAATCATCAACAGCCGCTAGTGACGACAATGAAATTCATTGGATGCCTACTGTGACTGAGTTGTACACATATGTTGTGGGCCCTACATAAAGAATAATACGTTAAAAATAATTAATTAACTTCATAAATAATAATCAAATGTCCGGATTTTACAATTTTCAAGAATGTTCGCAACATAGCATTATACATATCAAGTTCTTGCCTGGTCGTTGAACTGACCGTTGGATCGAATTGACGAGTTTAATTCAATTCTGATAACGTTGATTTGTTCATAGAAAGTTTTTGCCGTCACTATCTGAAAAAAATATCATTAAAGAATATGATTCCAATGTGGTAGGCCACAATTGTCGACCAGTTTAAGGGGGATGACTTTTTCAATCCGTCAACATCAATCGACGTGCAATTAATCAGAGAGCTAAGGACCAAAAAATAAGGGATTTTTCTTAAAATAATTGATGTTTATTTCTTAACTTCTCCTAATAAATTAATTTTAACTCATAATTTTTTTTTTTTACATTTTAACTGTAAATTTCCAATAATAATAATAATAATTTTCTTTAAAAAATATATATGTTTTAGATGTTACAAATTAGCATTTATAAACAAAATAAATAAGGAAGAACTAAGTCCCTGTTTGTCTACCATTATTGAGAAGAAAATGGTGTAATGAATAGTATCTTTTGAAAAATGTGTGGTTGAAATTAAAAGAAATTTTATCGGTTTATGTGTAGAACATTTTATTATTTGAATATGTGGTAGATACTGATTACTGTAGAAAATAATTTTTTAAAAAATGATAGACAAACAGAGGCTAAATAGTACCTATGACTCCTAAGAAAGTGAATGAAAGTGAGCGTAAATCATATATTTTTTGGCAAGATCTTCACGAACAAAGGTAGGTATAGAGAAATATATTGCATCGCATGCAAAGGTACTGAAGCAAATACTGAGTTTATGAACTATGGGTTAATGAACTCTTGAAAAATACCTGCAATTGAAGCCTTTTCCAATTTTATGATACGAAAAAGTAGAGAAATAAGTAAAATATGCAAGAAGTTAAAGCTTGACTATAGTTGCGCTCTTTCTTCTCTCATCTCGTATCTATGCAGTTCAAGCTTAGCTAGCCCTTTAGAAAGGCGCCTCCTTTGGCTTTTTAACTTGCTTCCATTCATTCTCAGACCAAAAGTGCTTATAATTTAAGTGTTAAAAATACTCGCAAAACATATGCTGAACAGAAGTACAAGCCCAGCACAAGGAAAAAGACCACTATTGTTCGTGCGAATGAACTTATTATGAAACTTATAACACATCTGGTTATCAATGAACAATACAAACAATTCTCTCATCAAAATTAAATTACTTCCACTATAAAACCTAGGGAAGCATAAAAAGGATGGAAACTTGTGTAGGGAGTACAACATTCGCGTTGATTTTTGAATGACGTGCACACCAAATGCGCACAGCTGTTGCAATGCAAAACTCAAGCGTTTTCAGACTTGGAGGAGACATCTTTCGTGAAAGCCAACTCCGAAACCAACGCAATGTGATCGCTTCCCCATTTCTGGAAACAGTAAAGCCAACAAATATGATTATAGCGGAACGTAACACAGTTGATTTTTGAATGACGTGCACACCAAATGCACACAGCTGTTGCAATGCAAAACTCAAGCGTTTTCAGACTTGGAGGAGACATCTTTCGTGAAAGCCAACTCCGAAACCAATGCAATGTGATCACTTCCCCATTTCTGGAAACAGTAAAGCCAACAAATATGATTATAGGGGAACGTAACACAGTTTGATTTGAGCACACTATGCAAGATTATGATCATCTTCAGGTAGTTTAGAGCCAATCTTAACTGGCATTACTAGCAAAGAAGGCAGTATACAGGAATGATTTTTATCAAGCTAGAATGCGTAACTTTGTCTACTACAGCTATTTGTATAAGCAATCACTTTAAAAATTCTACGAGGTCTCTACTGCAACTCAAAAACTTAGGAGAACTCCATTTCTGGAATATTTGAAACTCACAGTATTAGTTCAAAAGCATGATTTATCTTGTCATTATAAGAAAGCCATTATGCTCAGAAAGATTTTCCATGTAACTTACGATTACAAGAAAATCATAAAAGCATGCGGAAATCGGAATAAGCCCTGTTTGATGGCCATTATTAGGGAAAAAACAATGTTTCGAATAATGATTTTTACGAGGATGTGTGGTTAAAAAGTATGAAAAAGTTCTTGGTTTACGTGAAAAATATTTTTATTGTGAGAATGTGTGGTTGAAAATAAATATAAAAAAGAAAAACGAGTTTTGAAAGAATTGTTGTCAAACGGGAGCTAAATATGTTGTGGGGAATTGGACTATGATAAGAATTATATTTATTGTGTACTAAGGGATATGTAATTAGATCGTTTTAACTTACTTGGGTTACTCTAGGTTGCGGTCTCGTATATTTTCTTCATTCATGTATCATTTATAATATCAATCAGAATCTCTTGTTCAGTATTGCATAGGTTATAACAGGCAAAANTGAATGCAGACACGCAGTTAAGATCTCTTAAAGGGGGAAAAAGGAAAGAAAACAATCAGGTGCCCAATATCTCTCAGATTATTAATCACTTTCTGTCAACATACTGAAGACGTAACACTCTGAAAGTCTTCTCCACGTCTGTTAACTTCTTCAAACAAAGTTACATCATATTCTCTGAAGATTCGACCATCTCATATGCCCCAGATTTCTAGTCCACTATCCGATCAATGACGATTAATCTGCTGCATAATCTATCAACTGAAAGGACTTCCACCCATGAAAAAGAAAACGATATAGTCGTATTTCTAAACTCCAAACACCTTGGAAATATAGGCAGAATGTTTTCTTCAGTAGTTTTCAAAA